GGCAGGCAGCATAGCGACTGAGGTGCTGGACTCCCACATGGCTGACTGTGGTTCGAGTTCTGGACCTGGTGGCTTGCTTTCTCACTTTCCCTCTCCCTCTCTCTCTGGTAAAATTGAAAAATAATAATAAAAAATAAAATTTATATAAAAAAGAAAACATAACAAAGCATGACTTTCCTGATGACCCAATAGATGTATCATATACTATAAAGCTATTATATAACACGAGTATTATGTAGTATATATTAAAAATTACATCTTATTGGAATACAGTTTTGCTAAACAACAGGTCTCCTTAACATATGTAATATACTCCATTAGTTTCTATTTTCATTTATCCTACTTCTTTTTGTTTTTAAGAGTCTTTTGCCTTAAGGTGCATGTGCCCACCAGAGAGAGAGAGAGAGAGACAGTGGAAGAGAAGTGAGAAATCACCTCCCAGGGGGATGGCCATACCTCAATCCCTTCTCCATTCTCCTGGGATCCTGGGCACACACGTTCACATGCCCAGCTTGATTTTCAAGTCACTAGGTCCAGGACTCTGAGATTGGCCATGTGGAAGTCCAGCAGCATAACCACTATGCCATCTGCTGGTCCCCTGTCCTACTTCTTAAATAAATTGAAGTGTTGGTCATAAGCCACAGCTTGGGAGTAATACCATGCAAGAGTGGGTACCGTTCTCCAAAACACAGCAGAAAGCCTAAATCAATGACCATTGTGTGTGTTGTGCTTCTTCTTCTTCTTTTTTTTTTTTTTTTTTTTTTTTGAGAGAGGTGTTGATTTTTGCTATAGGGTACGTGTGCTCGCTTGAGAGAGAGAGACAGAAAGTGAAAAATCACCCCCAGGGGGGATTGTCACAATCCCCCTTCTTCTCCGTTCTTCTCTTGGGATCTTGGGCATGCACACACATGTGACCAGCATGAATTTTAAGCTGTTAGGTCTGGGACTTGAACTGCAGTGGATTATGTGGGAGTCCAGTGATGTAAGCATTACGCCATCTGCTGGTCCCTTCACTTTGCTTCTAATAGGAAGAACACCCAGCTCTGGAAACACACAGGTTACAGTAGGAGTGGCCCAGTTTACCAACAATTCCAGAGATCCACCTTTAGAATTTGCACTTCCTGTGGGGCTAGCAGGTGGTCTGGTGGTTAAGGTGCTAGAATCCCACATGGCCAAGCATAGTTTGAGTCCTGGACATGGTGGCTGGCTTTATTACTTTCTCCCCTGTCCCCCAGTCAAATAATAAAAATAATAATAATAATAATAAATACAATTAAGTAAATAATGATTTTTAAAAAAGAATTTGCACTTCCAGCAGCCAGGGGCATGACAAGGATCCCACTGAACTCTATGCTATGATTGCTACCTGGGCACTTCATGTTTCTTATGCCAAGGGATCCACAGTTTGAAAAACACTGTACTGAACTGTCTTAAAAGGGTGGAGATGAGTTTCAACTCATTGTTTGCAACTATGAACCATGGAAGCAGGATTGGGAGTGGTGAAGTTTAACAGGAAAGGCATCAGATTGTATTTAGGTGTACATTCCATTGCAGAGTCTGTACAATTCTTTGATTCCAGGCTGAAATTTCAAAAGTTTGCATGGTTCAGAATGTCTGCAATTGGTGAGATAAAAGAGGGTTTCTGGGATGCAGAAAGGGAAGGGAAGAATCTTTACTGAATTCAGCAGGTGCTTAATGAGGTGTCAGCAGGTGCTGGACAGATTAGAAGAAAAAATGAAAAACATTGGACTTGCAATTATGGAAAAGAGAAGGGACTTGTCAGTGTTCTGTAGATGCTTGACGGAATGAAGGAAAATGCAGTGAAGAACCTACCTGAAGGATCAGAGTGGAGAAGGGAAGTCTTAAGAAGGGTGGTCTAGGGAACCAGCAATTAGCGTAATGGCTATGTCGCTGACTCCCACGTAGTCGAACGCGGTTCGTGTCCCGGACCTAGTGGCTTAAAACTCACGCCGGGCGTGTGTGCGTGCATGCCCAAGATCCCAAGAGGAGAATGGAGGAGAAGGGATTGCGGCATGACCATCCCCCCTGGGGGGTGATTTCTCTTTCTGTCTCTATGTCTCTCTCTGTCTGTCTGGCGAGAGCACGTGCCCTATAGCGAAAAACCTCTCCAGAAAAAAAAGAAAAAAAGAAAAAAGAAAGGTGGTCTAGCAGGCACCTCATTAACGTTTGCTGATTTCAATGTAGGAAATTTAGTCAGGAAGGTGGGACCTTGGTGAGTGGACGCGGGTGAAGGAATTATAGTGTACGCTCAATAAATGCTTTACAGATCGATGGAGAAAAAAGTGGAGAAGTCTGCTGAAGGGATGGGAATGTGGTTGTTTGAACAGAATACAGTAAGGAATTAGTAAGTGATTTTTGGAATAATTGGGAGGAAGGGGCACCATGAGAAATAGCAACTAAGTAGGAGAGGAGGCCTAGCCAGAATAAATGGAAAACTGCACACTATGAGCTTTCATAGGACTGTGGAGTGTGGAAGGCAGGATTCTTAGGAGTGTACAATAAATGCTCTTTAAATGATTGTGGGGGACCAGGTGTTAGCACAATCGTAATGTAACTGGATCCACATGGGAGGGTCCTCAGATTGCATTCCAGAACCTTCTTCTACGTGCTGAGTATGGGAACATGTGTGCCGTGATCAAGGCTAGTAGAAGCTGGGCGTGTATAGTCGCCTGAGGACCCTGTTGGGAGTTCGTCTCCCTCTCCCTCTCTCTCAGGAGAAATAAATACATAAAATGTAAAGAAGTGATTGCAGGGTTGAATGGAGGAAAAGGTTTAACAAAGCTCACGGGTGGTTGGGGTTAGAAGGGAGTGGAACTGAACAAGGGTTCTTACTAGTATATAGTAGTGCTTAATAAATGCCTCCCACACTTTGACACATGGGAAGTATGCAATAAACATCTGTAGAATGAGCAAGTGTCTCTGGATAGAGATAAAGGCTGCTGGGTAGGGGTTCCTGGGACATGGGGTGATCTAACTAGTAAACTGCTGATATTCAATAACTTTAGGCTAAAGTAATCCCTGGAGAGAAGCAGGGGCAGGAACTTCTAGAGACTCGGAAAGGGGAAGTTGAGAGTAACTCATACAATAGCTGCTCAATATGTGTTCACCCCCATAAATAGGCCAAAGTTCTTTTGGGGAATGGACTTAAGGTTGGGAGAAGGAATCCACGGGTACTGAAGGGAGTAGGAAAGGGGTAACCCTTATAAATTGGGCTCTGGATTTATCAAAGAAAAGGACTTTGGGGAGGAAAGTCCTTATGATTGGGGCAGGTTCTCCTACAGGTAGTGAAAGTAAATGTATCCCTACACACAGGCACTGGGTATGTGCTCACTGGATCTATTGGAAGCAAAGAACTCTGGGGAGGAGGTGTGAACACAGAATACACAGAAGGCACTCCATAAATGCTCATGGGAATAATTGGAGAAAACAATCTTTGGGGGGAAGAAGTTTAGAATGGCATACATGGCAGACATGAAATATATGCTCACTAGATTCATAACAAGAAAAGGCCTGGGGGGGGGGTTGCCAGGGAAGGGCACACAATCATTTTACAAATGCTCACCAGATGCTTGGAGGAAAAGCTCTTTGGACAAGGGGAATGGGGATGCAGATGCTTGATCTATGTAAGCTTGATTCTTCATCTGTGGAGGAAAGGCTTTCATGGAAAAGGTCCAGAATCAGGCACACAGCAGGTGCTCCATAAATACTCCGAGAAGTGATTAAAACAGAAAGTCTTTGGAAAGTGATTGAAATGGTGCAACCAGATGTCTAGCAAGCAAGTGCTAGACACCTATGTACTGGATTAACTGGAGGCACAGGTCTTTCTGGAGAAGTCTAAGGTTGGGTCATGCAGACCGTGCTCAATACAGGCAGACTGAAGCTGCTGGAGGAAAGGGCATTGGGGAAAGATTTGGGGGATGGAGTATACACCAGACACTCAATACATGCTTGCTGAATATATTGGAGGAAAAAATCTTTAGAGAAGGCTCACACTACAGGCAGCTAATAAGTACTAGATGGATTCACCAAAGGAAAGGCCTTTGAAGAGATAGCTTGAGAATGTAGGATACAGAAAGCACTCAATAAATGCTTTTTGCATCCAGTGTAGGAAAAGGTGTTTGAGGAGAGAGTCTGAAGATGAGTCACACACTGTAGGCTCAAATATGCTCATGTAACTCACTGGAGGAAAATCATTTGAGGTTTGGGGATGGGGCACATATCAGGCACTTAATAATAAATGCTTTCTAGATCCTTTAGAGAAAAAGACTCTCGGAGAGAAGGCCTGGAGTTGGGGCACACAGAAGGCATCAGGCAAGGTTCACAGGACTCATTAAGGGTAAAACTTTAGGCCAGAAGCTGGGATAGTATACATAGCAGGCACTCAAACAATGTTTACTGAGTAGTTTAAAAGGTCTTTGAGGAGAGGTCTGAGGTGGGACACATAACACCGACTGAGTACATGCTCACAAGATCCATTAGGGAGTAGGCCTTAGGTCAAGGGTTGAGGAGAACAGGACACAGAACAGGCTCTCAAAAAATGCTCACAAATTTCATTGAAGCCAAAGGCCTTGGGGAAGGGCTATTCAATGAGGCTTACTATAGGTACTCAATAAATGCTCCTAAGATCCATTACAGGACAAGGATATGGGGCGAGGGTTAGGGGTAGGTGAAGCAGGGCACATTAGGCTCTCAAAGGCTCACAAGATATATCAATGCTAAAGGCTTTTGAGGAGGGAGATAGGGGACAAGGTACACATCAGGCACCCAATAACTGCTCCCCATATCCATCGGAGGCTTGCGGGGGAAGAGGGGGCAAGGAGAGGACACACTGGAAGCACTTAGCATAATAATTTAAAGGAAAAGCATTTGGGCAGAGGGCTGAATGCCAGGCATACAAGCGGCGCTCGATAATTGCTCGTTCGTTGCAGAACGATCTGGGGACCCAGGCCCACGGGGAGATGTCCTCGGCAGTGGCTTACCAGTCGGTGTGCGGCTCGTCGATGACCAGCAGCACCCTGGCGGCGGCACCCCCGCGGCCTGCGCC